TCCTATGACCTCTTCACTGTGTTTTGAGTTCAAAAAATTTTCTGGAGAATTTTGGTACAAGTGATCGATGGGGAGAGATTTCTGCTTATAAATATATTATATAATTTATAATCAATAAAAATTATAACAAAAATATTATTTTATAATACAATTATTAATTTTTTTATTATTATTTACATACAAAAATATTTACTAATTCTAATTCAAGCCTAAACTTTAACTTTATAATACCAGTTCTGATCTAATTACTAACCCAATTTCTAACCCAATCTAATCTCTAATTCAATTTTTAACTCAATTCTTATTTCCAACTCAATTTTTAACCTAATCCAATCATTAATCCAATTCTTATCCAAATCTAATCCCTAATCCAATTCTTAACTCAATTATTATCTTAATTTTATAATATATAAATTATTTTATCTATATTAATTATTCTTTTTAGCAAGTAATTATAAAGAAAATTTTAATAATTTTACTATATGAAAATAGCAAAACAAATTTACAAAACAAGAATATAAATACTTATTTGCTATTATGTACAAACTATTTCATTTAGAGGAGCGCTATTTATCAGCTGATATTTTGCTACTAAGAGGAATAATTATTATATACGATTTATATCATATATATTTATTTTATACATATTATTTACATAGCCGAGGATTAGAAATAATTCGCCCTCATGAATTACTGATTAAAAAAAATAAAGAAAATGGCCTAGATGATGACAGCAAAATTTTATTTAATCGTTTACAGAATGTTGCTACCCCCCCTACCCTCTACTTGATTATAAATACTACAATTTGATTAGCTAAAAAAAAATTAAAAAATCAAAAATTTTTAAAATTTAATATTAAATAACTTTTGACTCAGTGATCCGTTTTTGAGTAATTTTACTATCAAAATGTTTATCTCAATGGGATGATTCTAACAAGCCTAAAATTATCAAAATCCAATAACAAAATCCCAAGATTGTTATAGATTTATATTACTTTAATTATATTGTTTTACAAATATTATAAAGTGCGCCTATGGTGTTCAACACCAATGGTCACGTGTATTATTTAATATATATAAATTATTATTTAATAAATTAATAAAATAAAATTACCAATTATCATTTGTGCAACGCGTCATAACGCATCGCCATATAAAAGCTTTTTTAATGACATTTTACTCTTTTTACCCTTTTGCTTTTTCTATTGCACCAATGAATAACTCACCTTTTCTTCAAAACGGGTTTAACTCACCATCGCTTTATACTAATAATGATTCTTGCCCACCTTTCCTTTCTACTAACGACGGTTTTAACTCACCTCTAATTCATACAAGTGACGCTTCTAATTCATATTTGCTTTATACTAACGACGCTTGCACATCCTTGCTTCAGTCTAATGACGCTTATGGCAACTTCACAGACGATATAGTGGCTTCTGGGGGTATTTTGGATGACTTTAGCGAACAACCGATCTTGGAGAATACTTTTGACGAATTCAACAATGGACAACCGAATTCGGAGAATGCTTTTGACGAATTCGACAAGGAGAATGAATTGGATTTTGAGGATGAAACTGAAGACACTGAATCTAAATATTCTTTAACTGTGAATTAGGCTTTTGGAACTTGGAAGGCAGTTGATGAGTAAGTAGTTGTGAAAGGCTTTTTTTTTTCTTATTTGTGAAAGGCTTTTTTTTATACATATGGAAAGTTTTAATATTTCTATACTTTTAGATGGTTGGAATGTTATAGTCAAGAGAAGGGCTTCACATTCTGTATAACCCATAGCGAAAATGATAAGGAAGATAAGGAACCTCGGCGCCGGGTATATACATGTACAAAGAGACAAGCGTATGTGCCACGCAAAGAGGCACATGTTCTTAGCAAAAGAGACCGAGGTCACAAATCAGTAGGGTGTCTTTATCATGTAAATGTATACCGGTGGAAAAATAATAATGAAATCCGTATTTCTAATATCATCGGTACACACAATCATGAGATGGTTCCAAATATTAAAATGGTTGAATCAAGGTATCGTCGGCTAACTAAAGAAATGCAAGATGATGTTAGGCTACTTGCTTCTTGTGGTGTATGGGCTGGTGCGATTATTGAGGTTCTACAACAAAAATATCCCGAAAAATACGTTTATCCCCGTAATGTGTACAATATGATACAAACTATTCATTATGAAAAACGTGTTACAGGTAATGTGGGTAGTACATATTTGGAATTAATTAAAAAGCAGCGTGATGAACCTGGTTACTACGTTAATGCAAAATTTAAAGGGACTGACAATCATTTAGTCGGCCTTATGTGGATGCGGCCAAGTCAGATTCAATTATGGGGCAGGTTCTATAACGTAGTTCTCATGGATACTACTTTCAAAACCAATAGATATTCGATGATGCTTTGTATGTTGATAGTCATTGACAATCACAATCGCTCACGTCTAGTAGCAACTGCAGTGATTTCAGATGAGACAAGTGATACCTTTTCATGGATTTTTAACAACTTACTCGAAGCATCAAATAGCTTGGCTCCGAATGTGTTATTCACGGATGCTGACTATGCGATGGTTGTCGCAGTAAGCGAGACATTACCGAATACGAAACATCATCTTTGTCTTTATCATATTCAAAAAAATCTTGAAAAGCATTTTTTAGGTAAGTATAAAGGTGAGAAATGGGAAGAATTTTTTAAGGAATTCTGTCATGTACGAAATAGTCGTGTGGAAACAAAATTTGAGGAACGCTGGATAAATTTGCTGCAAAAGTATCCTGATTCAGCACCATATTTAGAAAGGCAGCTTTATCCTTGCAGAGAATCGTGGGTGCTTTGTTTTACGCATAGATCATTTAACACAGGAGTACAAACTACGCAGAGGGTTGAGTTATACAATGGAATCGTAAAAAAACATGTTAATGGTTCATCATCATTATTTGAATTGAGTAATACTATTGAGAGATTACTTCTTAAGGAGGATCGATATCAACGTTTCAACGAAGTTTCAGGTGTATTACCAGAAATTCACAATGAAGATTATTATAACAGATATTTTGACTTAGTTGATAAATCATGTCAAAAGTTTTTAACAACGGCAATACTTAAAATTCAACGGCATGAAATGAATCTCAGTATCCATTATCGTGCACAGTTAATCAATTCGACAGATGGGCTTCAGGTATGTTTTATATTTTTAAGTACGAGAATTTACAGTAGTTAGAATATGACTATTGTTGAGGGTTATAATAAGTAAACTTAACCTTTTTTCAATAGGTAACGGATGAGGTATCTGCTGGAATGTTTGCTGATGACATGTTTGATGCATTTATAATCGAACTTGAAGAGCTAGTGTGTGACTTGGATCATGTGTGTATTCGTGAAATCTGGAAAGTTTCATCAATTGATATGAAAAGTCAACATTTTGTGGTACTTTATGATGATACTTCTCATCTATGCACCTGTTTAACATTGATTAATTGTGGAGTTGTCTGCAGACATTTTTTCGTAATAATGCTGGTGTCAAAAGTCGCTAAATTTCATGTGGGGCTTATATCACATAGATGGTATCTAGATAAGGTCGTTTGTGAAGAAATAAATGTTACTAATGAGCTGGCAATTTCAATAATATATAATGAGAATTTTGGTTCATTTGAGTATACTAATATTAAGGTTAATTTCGCACATCTTGACAATATTCGAGGTAGTCACGTTTTTACTCATAAGGTTCATAAGGAGATATCACTTAAGCAGTGGTGGGGCAAAGGATTCGGCATTATGAAAAAAACTCTTGATCTAGTGATTGCAACAGGACGGTACGATGAATTATGTAAAATGCATCTTAACCTAGTAAAAGAAATGAAAATGGAAATCCTTACCGATGATGCTCATGACATGGATGATGATAACGTTGACAAGTTCACACTTTCAATTAGTAATCTAGTTGGCGTTTGTCTGAAGAGCCAGAGACAAAAGAACGCAAACGAGACACTTGTCAACACAAATAAAGTGTCAAGAATAGGTAATGCATGTTAAAAGTGAATTGTATAGGCTCTTTATAGTAAATTTGAATATAACTGATCAAATTTATACATATGTCCTAGGAACTGATAAGAATTTGACTAGTCAAGAAGAGGTATTTTATCGTTGCAATATTTATGATCAAGTGAGGTTCAATGTTTGTATATGCAACTCTCACATTTCGAATAATTAGATGGTTGGCATGAATAAAGGAGGTGGTAATGATCAAAATAAGCATTCTTTATTAACTACAAGTCACAATGTTGAAAGTTTAAACTCAGAAAACATGGGTAGGTGAAGGTCTATATTATCAAGTAGAATGATAATATTAATACTAATAATTATAATAATTATGTATTGCAGTTGACCATGCTCATCATGAAAATAGGTCTCGGCACTGTGGTGCTTGTGGTCAAATAGGCCATAATGCTCGTACATGCAACTTGAATTTTTCAAGTAAAGACCATCATGAAAATGTGAATCAATCACCATTACAAATTGTAGACGATAATGTTGGAGGTAGGTTAAGTTTTATAGTAAGCTATTATAGTAATTAATAATACTAATCATTGAATTTTATTAGTTAATGATCACACTAATAATAAGATTTGCCGCTGTGGTACTTGTGGGCAAGTAGGTCATAACGCTCGTACATGTAACTCTAAAAGTAGCTCGTAAGTATAGGTGGGTGGCATGTTTGAATACTAGTTGAATGATGTGCGTTTATATGATTATTGCATGCTGTATTTATCTGCATTCGCTTTTATTGATTATTCTGTTATTTGAATGATGTTTGCTCATATGTGTGTTTATTGTGTGTGTGAGTTTAGAACCAGTTTTATTTTCATGTGTTAACCTGGTTCTAATATATGAAAGCAAAATCGATTCTAAACTCTAGTATGTGAATGGTTTTTGCATATTACATCATTTTTTTAGCATGATGTTTACATATGTATGTATATTTATTCGCGTAATATTGTATGAAACATTAATTCTAATAAATATGAGATCGGATGAAGAATATATACAGTAATGCCCGATTTATAAAATAACTGTAGTTGTTTTGCACCGATTGTACGTTTTTATAGATTTTCTCATTTCATAAGTTTTGTATATAGTATTTAAGATTAGGGTTTGGGAAGAGTTTTAGAGTTAGGGTTTGGGTTCAAGAAGGGTTTTAGAGCTAGACTTAGAACATCATGTACTAATTATTTAGCTAGTTTTTGAAATAATATAACATAGATAGTAAAACACTATAAATCAAATTAAAACAATAAGCAAAATTATATTATATAGTTAGCGATTATGGTGTTTAACACCATAGGTGTTTAGCACCTATGGTATTAAACACCTATGGTGTTCAGCACCTATGGTGTTAAACACCATAGGCACACTTTAGTAAACTTGATTAATTTTATTCAAACTTCAATTTTATCGATAATCAAGTTTTTATTTTTTTTTAATATTTTAGTTTTATCGTTTTTCGATTTATATATTTTTAGTATTATCTGCAGATTTATTTTCAATAACTCGTTACTTTCTTCAATTATTTTTCATTTAAACCCCAATTTTTCTTTTTTATTTAACTTCAAAGTTTTATTATATATATATATATATATATATATTTATTTATTAATACTCTGATCAAGTATTAATTTTATTCATTATTATATTTTAAACTTTTATGTTTAAAACCTGTAATTTTTATTTACAAAAACAAAATTCTGAGAAAGTGAAAAAGAACAATAATGAGAGCAACTACTATATATACAAAAACACTCCATCTCCTTTTTCTTCTTCTATTTTCTTCTTTTTCTATTCTTCTTTTTTCTTCTTCTTGTCTTCTTTTTCTTTCTCTTTCTTCTTCAAGTGCAAGTTGACGAAGCAGATTTCATAAAGCAACATCATGATGTTTGAACCAAGTCTGATATCTATTTTGCTTCTCAATTAGGTTTTGTTACTCTTGATTCCATACAAGAAAATCTTGCAAATGTTTGAAAGCTAAGTGGTTTAGCTCTTCGATAGTAACACGTTGGTTCTCTACTTGTTGCTGTAATTGTCTATGAATATAATAATTAATAGATAAATTATTAATTAATTAATTTATTTTCTTTTGCTATTTATACTTATAACATGTATTCATAAACATTAATATTATTATTATTATTATTATTATTATTATCATTATCATAATAATAATTATTATCATTATTATTATTATTATCATCATCACTACTGCTATTGATTTTTTGTTGAAAGGAAAATTAAGACATGCTTAGAAAAATTGATTGATTAACAAGTATAATAAATGATACAAGAAAAATAGCCTATTTATAATTATCAAACTTTTAGAAAAATTTTAATTTATATAGTCAATAGTTTTAAAATTTAAAGTTTTACTATTTATTTATTTATTCTATTACTTTATTTTACTATCACTTTATTTTATTATTTATACTTCATTTTATTATTTACACTTTATTATCTTATTACGTTAGAAATTATATTATTAAGTTAAAAACTTTATTAGAAATTTGGACAATTTATTAGATTAGATTTAAAAATTAAAAATTTTATTATAAAAATAAAAAGAAAAATAAAACAAAGAAACTACAAAGAAAGGAAGAACCACCAGCTCAACCCAAAAAAATCCTTGACCACCCTCCAACATACACCTTAACGCCAAAATCTCTGTCTTCAAATCTTCGATCTCCATCTTCAAATTAGCAACCCTAACTTGTAACCTATTTCGCTCCAAATACAATGTATTTAATTGGGTATCGTGTTGGTAGTTCTGCTGAACTAACTCAACAAGATCACATTCTTGTTGCTGTGCTTGCAGATTTGCTACTTGATTCTGCAAGCTTCGAATAATTGCTTGGATAGATTGACTATAGTTGGTGCGAGGCATCTAAATAACAACAAAGGTATCATTAGAAAAAGGACACTTTTTCCAAGTGAATATACTTAAAATGAGAATAAAGAAAATGAATAAAAGAAAAGAGAAAATGGTAAAGGGAAAAGTATCCACCCAAGGCCAAACAGTCAAAGGCAACTGAGCAAGCTGAAGCTGCTACGAAGCTACCAAGGAAAGTTAGCTCACTTGAAATGGATGACCGGCGGTTACCCCGAAAGTATCAAAACTAATAAAGTTGAGCTCACAGTTCAAAAAGTATACACACCTTAAAACAAAAGCAAAAAGACAAGGCAAGCAAGATAAGAAGAAATTTTTGAGAAACTACAACTAAAAGAAAAGAAAAGAGTATTAAAAAAGAAAGTTTTTAACGAAAAGAAATAATAGAAAGAAATAGTACCAAGGAAGAAAGAATCATGTGTGTGAAAATTAGAAATGAAATACATAGAAAACATGAATATAAATAGAATTTAGACAATAAGATAATTTTCCTATCTTAGAAAAATTATCAAATAGCATGAACAAAGAAAATCATAACAATAATGATGTGATTTACAGATTTAGAAAAACAAGAGACAAATTAGAGCGTAGAAGCTAAATTTAAATAGACAAAAAGGGAAGTTCAGTGGACCCCACAAATTTTAAGGGAGGAAAAGAGTGGATGCACATATATATATATATATATAAAATACTTATTCTGTACTTGTTAATATATTAAGGAATTGATATTTCCACACCCTTTTTTGATAATACCACACAGCATCGATCATTCTAATTTTTACAATTTTTTCGAACTTCGATCGAAGATATCTCGACATTTACCTAACCAAATTCGAGTTCTACAATTTCTACAATTAAAATAAAAAAAAAGTCAGGCGGTCGTCGAGATATCTTCAATCAAAGTATTGCAAATTTAACGCCTATCAAATAGAAGCCGCGTTGCAGATTGTTGTTAAACTTTGATCGGAGATATCTCGAAATCCACCTGACTAAATTTGTTGAGCTTTTTTTTTTTTTTTGAATTCTACAACTTTTACAATTAAAATAAAAGAAATTTCATCGAATTTGGTCAGGTGGTTGTTGAGATATCCTTGACCAAAGATTTTGTAAATTTTACAGATTGTTTTTGATACTTTGATGGAAGATATCTTGACATCCACCTAACTAAGTTTGATGAACTTTTTTTATTGAATTCTATAGATTACCATTAAAATAAAAAAGATCATCGAATTTAGTCATGTAATTGTCAAGATATCCTCGACCGTAGATTTTGTAAATTTTGAACGTTTAGGTAGAAGCCGCGTTACAGATTGTTGTTAAACTTTGATCAAAGATATCTCAACATCCACCTAGATCAAATTCGATGAACTTTTTTTTTCTTTAATTTCTACAGATTTCTACAATTAAAATAAAAAAACTTCAATGATTTGATCAGATGTATGTCGAGATATCTTCAATTAAACTTATTAAAAAAATTAAAAAATTAGAATAATTAGCGAGGGTGTGAAAATATCAATCTCCTTTTTTTATTTGTCTTTTTTAATTATTTTTTACCTTTTTTTATTTTAATTCTTTTTTATTTTTAGTATAAATTTAACTAGATAATAATTAATAACTATTCAGTTTATTGCTAAAATCTAAAACTTTTTAATTACTATAGATAAAATATTTTCAAAAAATTCTTAATATAATACAATCTTTTAAATATTTTTTAACTACTATATTTAAATTAAGTTTGCTATTTATCATCACTAGTAATTAACACTAGTATTACTATATTTCAAAAATGTGCAAAGTAAGTAAAAATGTTTAGAGCACCTGAAAACTTTACAAAAACTAAAATCAGGGCTTTATATCTAATTTTCATTATATTATAAAAAAAACTCTAAAATTGCACCCTAACCCTAAAAATTCTTAGGAGTAGTAATGATTACTACTAGTAATATGTAGTAATTTTTTTAAATTTAATATAAAAAAATATAAAAGAATTTAAATAACAAGGTAAGTGTCCCTAATTTGACACAGTGCCTAATTTGACGCACTGATGATATCTCGCATTCCTGTGATCCAAATCACATGATTTTGGTATCATTTGACTCAGCTCATTTAGATGAGTCGAATAATACCAAAACACATGATTTGGATCACAAGAACGCGAGATATCACAATTTAATTGATCTTGAATTTTCTTGCTCAGGTAAGATTAACTTTCTCGTGCGTAGTTCTGACAAAAATAATAGTAACACATTAAAATCAGCCTTTCATATTAAATACCCAATACCTATGCATTAAATATTGTTTTTTTTTATTGATAAGTTTATATAAATCATAATTATAATAAAAAGTTAAATCAAGTTGCGCGATCTTATTAATGCATGAAAAAAAATGTGAGATTAAATATTAGCTTGAATAAATAGTTTTTGATCATGTAAATATTTACAATCAGTCTATATAATATTTCAAAATGTTTTGTTAAATGTAATAAAAGTGTTTGCACCTAATAGTTATAAACAAGTAAACTTTTTATTGTGATAAAGCAAATAGAAATAGTTTATTACTTTCAAATATTTGTTAAAATGACAAAGTATAGTGATTATAATGCCCGATATATTGGCATAACCAATGCCCTTAAAGTAGTTAAAGAAACCCCAAATGATTCCAAAATTCCAAGCACCAGAAGTATTGCATGGGACTATAGTCTTTTAGAAGCTACCCATAGATGTACCATCAAAAATGATGGCCCTCCTACCTACCCAGGTCATAC